AAAGGGACCGGGTGTCCCAGGCAGCTGAGGATGGGCCCCGGCCTGGGTGGGGGAAAACTGTACGTGGCCCTGACTTATCCTGGCGTCAGTGTTCCCTGGGACCCCTGGGCGAGCAGGTCTGTGGTCCCAGCCCAGACTCAAGGTGCTGTCTGCGAGGAGACCGACTGCTCCCGTCAATGGCAGGGAGTCCCAGCAGGGACTGGATGGCCCACAGGCTGCGGCCAGAGCTCCTCTGGGACCCGCGGAGAGCGAGTGCTCCCGGGCTGGCAAGGCCGGCCTGCCCCACCAAAGCTCTTCCTCCAAACCCGACCCTTCCCCTGATGAAGCAGCCACATCCAGTGCTTCACGTTGGGGTCAAAAGACTCCAAATTATCCGCAGGCATAAAGTGGGTCTCCCATCAGTTTCAAAAGGCAGCAAAGCTGGCTTCAATCGTGAATATTTGGAGAGAAAAACCCAACAAAACCAAACGAGGCATCTGTGGGACACTGAGCAGGGCATGACTATGAGTGGGGGAAACCAGGCATCCCGCCCAGCCCGCCGCCTCCCGGCCAGGCCCCTCCCCAGCTACCTGCTCGCAGGGCAGCAGGATCCCGGACTCAGCCCCGATGCTCAGCCCGAGCCTGCAGGAAGTGTGAGAGGAGACACCATACCGGAGACTGGGCAGGTCACAGCTCCCACCAAGGCGCAGGAATGACACTGGGAGGATCCGCGGGGGTGGTGCGGGTCCAGGTCTGCGGGAGCGGGAAGGAAGTGCTCCAGGGCGCGCACCCGCACCTGCCCATCCGCCCCTGCCAGGGCCTCCCTCCACCGCTTCACCCGCACGGCCCGCAGTGTAGCCGGGACCCCAGCCTGGGCCTGGCTCTGGCCACGGCCGCGGACACCGTGGAAAGGTCAGACTGTGCCTTCACGCGTTCTGGAGAGTTCTGGGCGCCTGGCAGCAGCCTTTGCTTCCTCAAGGCAGGCCTGCTTGGGAGGGACACAGGCCACCGGGACTCTGAGGGTTGCTGAGGAGCGCGTACGAGAAGGGCGCTGCCGTGGCCAGAGTCCGTGTCCCCTGCAATTCCCATATGGAGACCCTCACCCCCCAGTGACGGAAGTGGGAGGTGGGGCCCTGGGGAGGGATTGGGTCAGGAAGAATGGGAGTAGTGACCCACGAAAAAGGCCCCAGAGAGACCCCTCGTCCCTCCCACACGTGAGGACGCAGTGAAAAGGCGTGAGAAGTCTGCGAGGCAGGACCCCGGTCGCGGTCACGCACTCCCATCTGGGGCGCTCACAGCACCCCCGGGGCTGAGACAGGCCTGTGGGAAGAGCACGGCCTCCTCCACTTCCTGTAAGCCGACAGCTCGCGGGAAGCAGGTGCGAACGGGAGACTGGCTGGGTGACCGTCAGAGCTGAGATGGCCTTGAGAGCAGGACGCGCGGGACCGCAGCTCCCGGCTCAGCGGCAGCCCTGGGCGCCCCAGGTCCTCCGCGGCACCCTTCACGCAGGTGCGGGCATCCGGCAGTGACGCTCTGGGCAGGGCTGTGAGGCTGGCTGGGCGGGGACAGGCGTCCAGATGGCCTCCACGCGCTAGGCAGAGCTATGCCGCGAGCCCACCGGGGAGGCTCCCGCCCGGGAAGCAGGAAAAGCCCCTCAGCGCCTGCCTCCCGCCTGCCTCGCCTCCCGCCCAGAAGCCAGCGGGCACCGCCGGGGCCTCCCCAAGCTGCCAGGCCAAGGGCGAGCCCCTCCCCCATGTGCCCCGTGGACACCCCCCGCAGAGCCTGGGCAGGGAGCGGGCAGTTGGTGCAGCCTGGAGATGCTACTCCCCAGACTCTCGGGAAGCTTCTGAGCCCTGAGCCTTCCCCTCCCTGAGAAGGCGCCTCAGGCCCTGCCCAGGCCCCCCAGCCCCCCGGGGCTCCTGGGATGAGGTGTCGGGGTCTCCCAGTGACAAGGGCACAGGCCGCAGGACCCGGCCTAGAGCACTGGGGGCACTGGAGTGCCTGACGGGGACCTCAGGAGGCCGTTCCCACGTCCTCCCTTCACAGGTGCCGGCCCACCTGCCTCGGTCTGTGCGGAGCCCCACCCTGCACAGCGGGCGCCCGCGCAGGACCTGCGCCCACGCGTGGAGGGCTCTGGGGGTGGCTCAGCTCTTCACAGCTGACTGCACAGGCAGCACCCCAGCTCCGCCCAAGTCACGTCAAAGCCAGTGGACCAGGGAGCACCACGCAGGGCGGTGCAGGAGGTACGAGCGAGCCAGTCCAGCTCACGCCGATGGGCACAGGGAGTGCCCCAGCCAGCGCCTGCTGCTGGGCGTGGCTGCCGCACACGCAAAGCCCAGCTGCCCCCGCAGCCTGGTGGCTGGAGGATGGCGGGGGGAGTTCACAGGGCCCAGGCAGCAGCCAGGGCACGGCGGAGGCCAGTGGGCACGGGGCTACCCATGAGGGCAGCCTCTGAGGAACAGACACCGGAGATAAGCGCAACTGGGACGGAGGCGCCTAAGCCAGGCTCTCTGGGTCTCCCCAGCCACCAAGGGCCCAGAAATAAAGGAGTTTAAAAGGGACTAGTGGCAGCCCTCCCTACGCAGCATCAGGAACTGTCCCCTGCACTGTTTGGTGACACCCGCAGTTCTCACTGCAGCCCTGGAGGGGAGTGGGGGGTGGGGATGGAGAAGCCAGTCCCCCAGGACAGCTCGAAGCCAATGCTGGCTGCAGGCAGAGCTGCCATCTAGACCTATGGATCCCTCTGCACGGACCTCGTGCTCCTCCTGCAGCGGCTCCTGTTCTAGTATCTGTCCCCGAGACGTCTTTCCTCACTGCCAGGCTTGGGTGGTGCCTTTGCGCTGGTTCTCTCCTCCTGGCACCCGAGCCCAGGAGTGTTCTGCGTCCCCCAGCCCAGGGCTCCGCCTGCCCAGCCCTGCCAGCCCTGCCAGCCCTGCCCACTGCCCAGGCCCCTGGCCCCTGGCCCCTCCGGAGGCCACCTGTATCGTCACCTGTCTGTCTCAACGGCCCCGCCCAGCCCCGCCCCACAGCCGCACAGTGCGTGGACCAGCCTCGAGCCACCTGGGCAAGGTGAACGTGTGTGCTGCTCCGTGTTCGTGTTTATTTGTAAAGTTACATCCTCAAGTTCCCAACAAGATTTGTTGCCGTGTACACCTGCTGGGTGTAAGGCCCCATCTGGAGCCACCAGCAGATGCCGGAGGAATTCTGGGACGCTCTCAAGCGTCTGGGCCCTGGAATCTGCCGTCTCAGTGGAGGGACACAGCGGCCACCAAGTTGTTCCTGCCCCTTCTGCACCTGCTCGGCTGCAGGGCTGCATCTCCCCAGGACGTGGTGCAGCACACGGACCCAGGCACACGGCCACCTCCCAGGGCCGGGGCCGGCTGAGGCCCAGAGGCGGCGCCACGCGGACACCCCGGCTGCTGAACTGGCACATGCGCCACCAGTTAGGTTTTCATCACGGCCATGACCGAGACCTGCGAGAGGACAGACAGGGTCTGGGCGGGGACTGCACTAGCCACCTTCCCCGCCTCACGCCCGCCCAGGTGCCCAGGGATGGGGACACAGGCCCTGCTCCTCCGGCACCTGGAGGCTCTGCCCAGGGGCTCTCGTGGCAAGAGATGAGGGCACCTCATGTCCCGAGCAGAGACCACCTACGTGAGGCCACCAGACCTCAGGCCACCAGGCAGCCCCAGGCAGGCGAGGGGCAGCATACCCACCTCCTGGAGGCACTGGCCCAGCGTCTCCTGGCTGTGAACGGACGGCCTGTGGGGAGAGCGCCAGGTCACCCCCCGACCCCAGCCCGCGCACGCCAGGCCCAGCTCCCACCAGGCTCAGCTCCCACCAGGCTCAGAGCAGCAAGGAAGGGACGCGAGGCACACGTCTGCATCTGTCCCCACCAGGGTGGGAGGCACTCGGGGGTGAAGGGAGGGCAGGACAGAACAGGCAGGGCACGGGCCGGCGCTAAGATGCCAGGGCCCTGGGCCCCACCTGTCTATTCTGGTTGCTATCGTCACGGTGAATGCCCCCTCTGTGTCCGGCAGGTAGGTGGAGGGCACGATCCGGTAGGTCCCCGCTGGCAGCAGGCAGAGCCGGCTCACCTCCTGGGCGTAGCGGTGCGGCACACAGCTCAGCAGTGGCTCCTGCAGCAGCAGCGGGGGTGCGCCCGGGCTCTCGCCTCCCGCGGGAATCTGAGGCGGGCACAGGCTCACACTTGGGGGCCTGAGTGGGGCAGGGGAGCCCCCAGCCCAGGGGCTGCTCCCCTTCCTCCCCGCCCCAGTGGAGGGCGCACAGCCTGGGGTCCTGGCGCAGCTGGTGCTGGCTGCTCGGATGCCCCCAGCCCTCCTGAGTCGCACGCCCTTCTCTGCGGAGGAGGGACTCACCTCCTCACCAAGCCCCGTCACTCTTGCTGCAGGTGCCATTGGTGGGCCCAGACCTGGCAGCATCAGATCACCAGGGAGCTTTATCTAAAAAACCCACCACTGCCTGGCCCCGGGCACTGGTGGCCTGGAGCAAGGAGCAGGACTCCAGGGGACTCCCGTCAGCTCTGGGAACTGAGGGACACGGTACCCTCTCACTCGGGAACCTGCTCTTCCTCCCCAGGTCGCCTGCACTCCAGCGCGCATGCACCTCAGTGAGTGCCAGGGGCAGCTGCAGGACACCCTCCACACGACGCCTTCTGGCCCACGCCCTCCTCTGGCACCTGCCCATTCACCCAAGCCCCCGGGTCAGGCCCCAGGGCACGCCCAGCCCTAGTGGGATGGGGAGCCCGGCCTGCCACCGTGGAGTCCGGGCCCACAACCCCTGGCTTCCACATGTCACCTCTCCCTCTTCCTCTAACTACACATCTGCTGAGGGTCTCTGCCTGGTCACCAGGGACAGGCAGGGCAGAGCAGGCTGGGGAAGGCGCCTTGGTGCCCGCTAGGACACACCGACCCTCCCCGCCTGCACGAGCTCCTCTCCCCGGCAGGTAATGACACCCGGCAGAGGGACTGGCTCCTCAGCCATCGAGGTTCCCATCACGAGGTCTCCACAGTCGGCCTCTCCCTCCTGCCTTCCCACCTTCTGCAGGTGACCCTGGGATGGAGTGACGGTATCGTCCTTCTTGCCTGCTGTCTGGGACCCAAGCCCCTCGCCATGCGGCTGGGCCCGCCTGCAGACTCCGGCAGCCCACCTCTGGGAGGCCGGGTGCTCCTCCAGAGCTGCTTGCCCATCCGGTTTTGCGTCTGACCTGAAAACCCTCCCTGCCTGTCGGATTCAGCAGTCCTGTCCGGCAGACTGTGGCCACCCGGCAGTCGGCATGCGCGGGCCACACCCTCTTCTGGCCACCTAAGTGCCCTCCTTACCACGAACCAGGCCGCGGCTTCTTCCCGGCTCCCGGCAGGCACCCCCCGGCCCGCTCAGTCCTCCCCTCCACGCCCAGCACTCAGGGACACAGGCACGGGGAAGGGGGCGCTGCACCCGGGGTGGCTCCAGGGTGCGTGACCATTCTGCGGGGCACGACCCAGGCAGGACCTCCCTGCAGTCGCTTCCTGGGGCCACAGCCACCAAAGCAGCCGGCAGAGCCCTGGGTCCCGGGAGAACGGACCTCGAGACAGTCATCCTGAGCCAGGGCGGCAGACGGGGGCTGCCTGGGCTGACCCCAGCGAACACGGACTTTGCGAAACCTCGAGATGGGTCGACGCGACCAGCCGGCCCGGCTGATGCGCCCAAACGACTGAGCCGGGACAACACGGACCAAGATGCAAATTCCCTGGGGCTCCCCCCGCCCCTCCCCGGGTGAGGCGCTTGCCTGGAAGACGTGGAAGCCGATGGGGTGCAACTCGCTGCCCCTGGGCCGGCAGTGCTGGCGCAGAGTGACGCGGACGCAGCGTGGGCCGGGGCCCTCGGGGATGGAGAAGGGCAGGCAGGGGTTGGTAGGGTAGGAGGCAAAGTTCCTGCTGCCCCCCGCCGTCTGGCCGGCGCGCCAGCAGCCCCGCAGCTGCACGGTCCCCCACTCGCCGGCGGGCAGGGCTGCCCCGGGGGTGGCGCTCTTGGACACGGCCCTGATGGCGCTGGTGGGAGAGACGAGGCGGCGTGTCCCAGGCGTGAACACTCACCAACCAAGAGAGAAACTGCCCGAACCCTGCCTGTGAGGGGCCCCTGCTCCCCCCAGGCTGTGGCCTCGGAGAGCAAACAGTCGCTCACCTGAGGGACACCCTCCCGGTGGAGAAGACGCGGAGCAGGAACTGCCCCGGCACGTCCTTCAGGAAGGTGCTGGGGACGGCCAGGTAGTAGCCCGGCGAGAGCTCGCAGTGCAGGTGCACCTCCCGGTCGTACGCGTGGCACGCGGTGCCAGCCACGGGGGGCGCGGACAGGACCCTGGGCAGGCTGACCCGCCGCTTCTCCACCTACGACGGCGCGGGCAGAGGCTCAGCGCCGTGGAGAGGCCGGGCCGCGGTGCTCCCTCCCCTCCCTGCCCGAAGCACAAGGGCTTCTCAAGGTGACAGACGAGAGCACCCAGACCTGTCCGCCCCTCCCGCCCCTCAGGGCCAGCCAGCATGCCGTGGACCCAGGGCTGCGCTCAGCCAGCAGGGCCATGGACCCAGGGCTGCGCTCAGCCAGCAGTGCCGTGGACCCAGGGCTGCGCTCAGCCAGCAGTGCCGTGGATCCAGGGCTGCGCTCAGCCCCGGGGCGGCGTGTGCCCAGATCCGAGCCTCCGAGTCCTCCTGTGCGGGAAGGAAACAGACAACACTCGACAGGGCTGTGCCCACAAAGTACTGAGGCCGGCGTGGCCTGGTACTGCCGGACACAGGGCTTTCCAGCAACTTCTTCGGCAAGAGGAAAGGAACACAATCTAGTCACACCCACAAAGGGACAGGGAACAATGTGGTCTGAGTTGTCACACCCTGTCAAGACACACAAGACTAAAAACCAGTCACTTGGCCAGACGCAGTGGCTCACACCTGTAATCCCAGCGCTCTGGGAGGCTGAGGCAGGAGGATCGCTCGAGCTCAGGAGTTTGAGACCAGCCTGAGAAAGCAAGACCCCAACTCTGTTCTTTTTTAAAAAAGAAAAATAATTAATAAAAAGTAAAAAAAAAAAAAAAAAAAAAAAAAAAAAAAAAAAAAAAAAAAAAAAAAAAAAAGACAGAAAACCCGGTCACGGAGTGAGCAAACAGGCAGCACCCCGACCCGGACGGCAGGCACCTGTGCCGGTCCTTCCAGGAAGTAGCGACTTACGAGGCTGGGGCTGAGTGTGCGACAGACGGAGCCAGCGTCAGGATCCCCGTGTCCCAAGGGAGGAGACTGAGGGTGGGGAGGTCACGCAGCAGTGGCAGAGCTGGGCTTCGGGCCTGGCAGCTCCTCAGGGGGGGTTCTACCCTCCCTGCTTCAGAAAGGGCAGCAGGCCTGAGCCTACCGGGCTGCTGGCTTTTGTTCTCCTTTGTCCAGCGGGCCCGGGTCTGGGAGGGAGCCCGGCCTTGCAGACTCGGGTCAGAGCCGCGGCTGTGGGGGTGTCGGCAGGCATCTGAACCCTGGCAACGGCCCGAGCAGAGGGAGACGCGCCCCAGTGTGGCCGCTCCCGGGACCCAACCTGCAAGGCCTCTGTGCCCCCACCTCACCGAGAGGGGAGCGAGGCGGGGCTGACTTGCCTTCCAGATGTGCAGGCCCACGGCCTGGTAGTCCTTGCCCAGGAAGCTCGCTGGGCTCCATGAGGTCCGGTTGTCACCCACCGGCGCCCGGGCCCGGCCTGCCCAGTTGGCCACGCGCGTCCTGGGTCTTTGCAGGACGGCGACGTACACCTCGCTCGGTTCTGAGACCCGCAGCCAGAATTTGGGGTTGCTGGGAAAGCCGCTGTTGTTCCGGCAGCCTCCTGCGGACTGCCCCTTGACCCAGGCCCCGGGCAGTGCCCGCGTGTGGCAGAGCACGTTTCCTAGTGAGAACACAGCACGCGTCAGCTCCGGGAAACGGCTGCGCGCCGCGGCAGGGCACCCGGACGAAGCAAGCCAGCACCCTCCGAGAGCGCCTCTCTCCCGCCTCAGGGTGCCGGGGACGGGGAGGTGGGGACGGATGATCTCTCCAGGTTGGAGAGGAGCAAGGCGGGCCCGGGTGAGAGTGCTGCCTGCTCGGCCTCCTCCTCCAGCACAGAGCACACTCCCGGGGCGCCCCGCGTACCTGTGTAGAGACTCTGCAGGTGGCCGGCCTCTGTGACGGGGTAGCCAATAGTGACCTCGTCAAACTCCCTGAGGAACTCTTCCTCCTCCACCCAGAATTCTCCTTCCTGGAGCTGGGACAGGAGCTCGGACGCTTCTGCTGGATCCGCCCGGCTCCACCCCTCACCCCTGGAAGCAAATGTGCTCAGCAGGAGACTCTCCCGACAGGCAGAGCGGGGTGGGGTGGAGCCTGGGGGCCAGGCCCCCCGCTCACAGGTACCCTGCAGCGCCAGGCCCTCTGGGCAGCGGCCACCCCCTGAGTCTCCCTCCCCAGAGGAGCACTCCGCCAGGGCCACCACTCGAGCCCAGAATGGCATTTACCCGTGGCCTTGGATGGCCCCAGGCCTCACGAGAACTGTCTGGGGCTCAGAGTGCAGTGCCCGCAAGCAGGCAGAAAGTGGGCCTTGCCAGAGACGACCAAGCACTGTCCTGCCAGCTGGACGTGACCAGGGTGTGGGCCGGATGGGTCCTGGGGCCTGGGCACCTGCGGCTGTGACAGCCCTCCTCCTGACGACAGCGAGAGCTGCCCCCAGCACTCACCCCTCTCTCCAGAGCCCCTGCCAGCACCGCCGGCCCCAGGGGTTCTGAATCCGCAGCAGGAGGATGCCCTGGCCGTCCTGAGCCTGGAGCTCCCGTAGATCCGAGACAAGGAAGGCGTGGAACTCGCCCAGCTCCCTGGCACCTATGTGAGGAGCAGCTCTATCACAGCAGGAAGGGCAGCACGAGGTCCCCAGCCTGACAAGGACGCACAGGTCTCCGTCTCCCTCCCTGGGAGATGCTCCAGCCCACGCGCCGGTGGCTGCACGGGGGGCCCAGATCCCCGTGGACCACAGGAGCTCCTGTGCCAACAACCGCAGCCCAGCGTGCTCGGGAACCCCCGAGAGAGCACTGAGCACACTGAACCCGGCTCGGCTGCCATCCGGGTGCGGCGCTGGACAAGTCATCCCTTCTCTGGGCCTGACGCTGCCCGTGGCCATCGGCGCAGGGCCAGTCCTTAAACACGCTGCTACTGTTCCTGTTGGCACAGCTGCAACTGCCAAGACCCGAGGGATCTCCCCAGGCAAAGCTCACTGAGGTAGTGTCGACTAGAACCGTGGGAGGACCGGGGGCCCAGAGCGGAAACGGCTCCCCTTGGCCAGAGACCTCGAGAAACACGGGCGTGGAAATGGAAGAGCCGGACAGAGGAATGCCACGTCCAGAGAGGCCGGCGGGTCAAGAGGAGGAGGAACTCCTGGAAGGGCGGCCATGCTTTGCTCAGCCAGCGCTGCAGCCGCCTTTCTGGGTGTCCTGCCATGTCCCCAGCCCCTGCCACCTCAGCAGGCTCCAGCGCCCGCAGCCGCATCTCTGCCCGGGGCTTTCTGCAGAGCCTGAAGTGCCAGGGGTCAGTCCTAGCTCCCCACCCCGACCCCCACCCCGGGAGCTCGCAGGCCAGCACCCGCCTCCTGGGGGGAGGCTCGGGGAGCACACGGCCTCCAGCCTCCCTGTGCCCCCACTGTGCTCCGGAGTCCCGTCGCGGGGTCTGACTGGGGGGACCCAGACCAGGCCTGTGCCAACCCTCACACACATGCTGGGGCGTGTGATTGCCAACAGCTTTCCGTCTGCTAGTCACGTTCTTTGACCAAAATTACAAAAACAATCCTAAGTATGGAAAAAACATAAAGACGTTCACGCCAATATTATTTATAGTTATAAGAAATCAGAAACACCTCAAATATCCAACATCAGGGAAGGGACTGAGAAAGCTACGGCAAGTCCGCTAAGCAAACACGACGCTGACGAAGCTCACGTAATAGCGTGGGAAACTCTGTCTATGATGCCGAACGTAAAAGGCGTACGCTCATGAAAAACCGAGAACGTGCACCGAAGAATCACACATGCTCATATTTGAGTGGTTTTTCTTTTTTATAAACAAACTTTCTTTAATGAACACACATGTCACTAGAATAAAGAATGAGCTTTGATCTGCCAGGTCACCAGCTGGACCAGGGACGACACACACGCCCGGCTTCGACTCAGTGCTGCCTGCTTCTCACAGCACCTCTGCATGACAGTGACCAGAACACGAGTTCCTGCTCGTGCCAGCGAAAGGACTGGTCAAGGGAAAGAGAGGGTCCCCTCCCTCTGGAGCAGGGGGACAGTAGGGAAAAACCACAAACCCAGGACACCACCCTTGAGGACGAATTTTCTTCTTACCACTGAGTCCTGACAGGGCTGCGTAAACAGTTATATAAAAAGCTACCATGTGTCCCACCAGCCACGTGCCTCACCTGCCCTGGGGCTGAGCACCGAGCAGCTGATCAGACACTGGTCCTTCAGGCGGAGCAGCTGCTGGCAAGACCTGTGCTCCTGGCCCCCAGGCCTGTCCTGCTGGCCACTGCTTCCTGCCAAGTCCTTCAGGTTCCACCTTTCTGCCAGGCCACCAGTTAGGTCCACCAGGGCATCCGCCACCTGCCCTGCCCACAGGTGTTCGTAGGACCCATGGACCCTAAGGGAACACAGAAACGACAGCAGTGAGCTCCAGCGCCGGGCATGGCTACCGCCTCTCCCCGACCCCTGTGGTCTCCGACAGGCCACGTGTGATCCGCAGCCTCGACTGCGCACTGACTGCGCTGGCCGGCCTTCCTCAATTCCTCCGGACACACCTGCTCCAGCCCAGCCTCCTTCAGCAAGGTGACAAACGCACGCTCACGGGGAAGGCTATTCAACTAGATTGCGGTGAGGGCCACAGTCACGGTCCCTGAGTCAGGACCACGATACACAAGCACCGGTAGGCCTGGGCGGCCTCGCTCCTCCCCAGTGATCGCCCAGGGAGGCTGCCTGTCCCAGGGGTTCAAACGCAAACATTCGGAAGCGTGGTTCTCGCTGGGGCTGAGAGAAAAAGGAGGACAAGGCACATTCTCTGTGTGGAGGCGATGACTCCTGCTGGCCCAAGAGCAGAATCTCTGTGTCTGGGCCAGTCAGCCCGTCCACAGAACAGGCTGCCGGCCGCTCAGAACTGAAAAGGCCCTGCGGCCCAGAGCGAGCAGGACGAGCCTCCCGGGCAGCCCACGGTGGTGGCAGCTCCCCGCCCCGCCCCGTTGGCCCCAGCGCACGTACTTGGCATAGACCTTTTCCAACAAGGGAAGCCAGAACACGTCCTCCCTCTGGCAGCGGGAGAAGCAGAGTCTTCCGGCAAGGCACGGCAGGCGGTCATCTGTGGTCACCTCCACCCAGTGTCCAAACTGCCAAACGCGACAGGTGAAGGAGCCCCGGTACGTCTGGTCGGACCAGCTGGGCTGTCCCGGAGGAATGACCTGCCACGCACAGGGAGAGGCAACGGAGACCGTGAGACAAGTACCACCTGGCGCTCTCCAGCACCCTAACCACAGCGCGACCACCGCTGAACCCCGCCACAGGCCCCTGCTGCTTGCAAAGGACTCTGCGCCACACCTAGATGTCAGCGCTCACAGGAAGCTCAATCACTGGGCGCACAACTAGCAGACCTTTCATTTAAATATTTTAGGACCACCCCGAGGGAGCCAAGTATCCCCAAATACGTTCTACTGTCCTAGATAAGCATTTGACCTGAATCCAAAACAAATGTGACTTCCGCAGGTACAAGTGCCCCAATTCTTGACGAGAGCTGGCGGCAGACAGCACGTCACCACGGGAGTGGCCGCCCCTCCTGCTGCTGGAGTCTGGTGCCCCACACCCGACAGCTCCTGCACCCACTGCTGGGCTCCCCCGGGGTCGGCACTCAGACCCAGCATTAGGAGACTGTGGCTTTGCACCAGGAGGACTGGGTCCTGGCTGTGCCACTTGTCACACAATGACAGTGGCTTCAGCACCCTCGTTTGTAGCGAAGGGTCAAAGCTGGTGAGGCTGGAGACTGAGAGCCAGTGACTGTTACACGCTTGGCAGGGGCCTGGGACGTGGGCGACCTCTGCAGGTCACCACTATCCATGCTGCTGCTTTGATTGACAGCGAACACTGCTGGGGAAGGGACATCTGAGAAAGCATCAGGAACAGTTTTCAAAACCTTTTTCCAATTTATATTCAAAACCTACTAAAAAAAATCAATTAGCTAAGCAAACATATTCCAAACCAGAGACAGAGACCCCCTCCGCTGGCCCTGTCTTGCCTAGGCTGGCGCCTTTGTCTTTTTATTCCAAATGTGTGGCTCTGACTAGAGGGAGAACACAGAGCTCAGGAGACGGCAGAGCCAGGCAAAAGCCTCCCCGATGGACCCCTCCGATGGCGCTGCGGCACCCCTCCTGCAGGAGAGGGACGGGCTGGAGTCCGGAGGCTCTGCCCAGAACCCTGCCGCTCTCCACTAACCAGCCGGGGCAGCCGCAGCAAAGGCCCCAGCAGAGAAGGGACCCAGCTGCCACGAGGCTCTGCTTGTGCAAGAGCTCCCTGCGCGCAGGCGGAGCGAAAGGGAGGAAGAGAAAGCTGCGCCATCGCCCACCTGGTCCAGGAGGTGCCTGCCCTTCTGCAGGGCAGCGCAGGCACACAGGAACCAGCAGTCCCCCAGCAGCCCCTGCTTCACCTGCCCTTCCCAGGGCTTGTCTGGAAACAGCCGGGGCGTGGCACAAATTTCCTGAAAGAGAGAAAACTGTCCATAGTTAGATTGTGCCTGATGGCTAATCTTTCAAACTAAAACCTAAGGATCTAGGTGACAGGCTGGAGAGGAGCTTCTGATCATCTCTGTTGCCTCAAAGGGGACAGGCAGCAGCTGGCTGCTGGCAGCCACTGTCCTTTAGCACCTCCGGGCTTCGGACCCCCATCCAGCTCAGCTTCTGGGGTGTCCGTCACTGTCTACCTTCCTTATTAGCAAAACCCCCAATTCCAGACGAATCCTACCGTGCTCCTTCTCGAAACAGCTGAATGTTGGTTTAGGAAACAATTTCACTTTGAATTCAGATGGCAAATCTCAAACGGGTCCTCCATTCTGCTGGAAACCCTACTGCTACCGTTTCTCTAGAAGGCTCAATTTCCCACATCCCCACGCTGTTTCATACCTTCCCCTTCCTCTCTCTCCTCCAAACGCTCCGCTTCCCTTGTCCACGCCCCTGGGCTGCCTGCTTGGCTTCTGCTTCACCAGAAGCCACTGGCCCTGGGCCCCTCCTGCCACCCGGAGCCTGCACTCCTTCGATGACTCCGTCCCTGCCACCTCCAGAGGGGGTCCCACTAGCATAAAGGCCGGAGAGAATCGCCCGTCTTCAGGACGTTATCCCTCCACACCACGTTCCCTTCCAGGCTTCCTTTCATTAACAACCGTCTTGAAAGAGCTGCTGCCCCTGCCTCCTCCCTCCCATTCGCTCTCAACACGGGCCCCTCCAGCTTCTGAGCCAATCATACCCCAAAAACAGCCTCTATCAATGTCACCCCCACGTTGTCAAGTCCCATGGGCATCTCTCTGCCCTTGTCCTTCCCAACTCGTCGGCAGCATTCAGAACAGCTAACTGTCCCCTGCCCCCCCAAAGTGGTCCCTTCTTGGCTTCCACGATGCCACATGCTCCTGGCTGTCCTCTCACCTCACTGTCTGCCTCTCAAGTCTACCTGTCAGGACCCCTGCCTGAACTCAAGAAAAGTTAGGGGTCCTCAAGGCTCAGTCCTGAGCCCCCCTTCTTCTCTGCCGGTACTTCCTCCTGCACACCCTCCCAGGCCTCGGACCGTAAACCGCCTACGACGCTCCGACTCCAAATGAATGTCTCTAGCCCAGATCTTGCTGACAGGTGAATGCCTCTAGCCCAGATCTTGCTGAGCTCCCAACTCCCACACCCACCGGCCTTCTGACCGCTCCACCTCAACACGTGAGAGCGAAGTCCAACTCCAGATCACCCCAGGCTCTGCCAGGGCTGCCATCCCCCCAGGTGCTCAGGCTAGAAATCCAGAAGCCACCCTTGCCTCCTCCATTATCCTCCCCTCCTTCAATCGTCACTGAGGCCTGTCAATCCCCCTCCAAAGTCTTTCTCAACTCCATCTCTCCAAATCCACATCCTAAAGTTTGTCACGCTAACCTGGGCCCCCTCGTCTTTCTCCAGGATCACCGAATGGCCACTGGCACTCTTGCCCCGACACTCCATCTCCCACCCAGCAGCAGGAGTGAGCTTCTTAAAACACAGATCCAAGGCTGGGCGCGGTGGCTCAGGCCTGTAATCCCAGCACTTTGGGAGGCTGAGGTGGAGGATCGCTTGAGGCCAGGAATTCAAGACCAGCCTGGGCAACAGCAAGATCCCATCTCTACAAAAGAATTTTTTAAAAAATTAGCTGGGCATGGTGGCGAGCATCTGTAGTCCCAGCTACTCAGGAGGCTGAGGCGGGAGGATGGCTTAAGCTATAATCCCGCCACTGCACTACAGCCTGCGTGACACAGTGAGACCCTGTCTCTTAAGTAAATAAACAAAAACGAAGTAAACAAACAAATTCAATAGAATCACTTCTCTACTAAAACCCTACACTACTAATTGCACCAAAAAAACATTTTTCAATCAAATAAAACCCAAATTCCAATGCCATGGCCCAAAGGCTCTCCAGGCTCTGACCTATGCCTCCTCCCGGGCTCTCTCTGGGTTGCCCAAGGAAACCAAGCTGCCTGCCAAAGCCACCTCAGATGCCAGAAGCAGCCAGGAAGTTCCGCTCTGCTCAAAGGCTCGTGGCCATCCAGGTGTGGCCACAAAGACTGCATCCACTTAGGGCAAGGGTGTTCCTGGGCAGTCTCACTCAACAGATAAACCATTTATAAAAATACCAACACAGCACTAGGCCAGGGCATCCCTTTGCGTTGCCATTTTTAAATGTTTACAACTGGAAATACAAGTGCACGGAGTCCCAAACTGGAATTCTACCACGCTTTGCTTTGAGAGCTCAGCCGGCCACCCTAGAAGAGCAGAGAGGCCCCCCCTGCCGGCGACAGCAGACCCGGCGAGCAGGAGCGGCAGGGCGGGACCGCCGCGGCCAGGACCGCGCGCTGACCCGAAGCCAGGTGTGGCCAGAGCTCTCCGGAGCAGGACAAGGGGCGGCGCGGTTTGGGTCTCTGCCGAGACGCCGCACTCGCTCTGCCCGGAGCTCCCGCAGGTGGAGGCCACGGAGGGTCGGCCCGGAGTCCCGCTCGCACCGAACGGGCTGGAGAAGGAGCTCCGAGGGGCGGCGGGCGCCACGCGAGCTCTCTTCGGAGGATAACGGCAGGGCCCGCGCTCGAAGCGCCCCGGCCGCCCGCCCGGTCCGCCGCCCGGCGAGGAGCAGCGTCGGAAGAAGCCAGAGACGGCGCCGCCGCCGCCCGCCCGCGCCCCGCGCCCCACCTGGGGCCGCCGCCACGTGATGTCCTCCCGGAACTGGGCCAGCGGCGTGGACAAGTTGAAGAAGAGCGAGGAGTCCGAGGCGGGGAAGGCGGCGTCCCGGAAGAGCTCCCTGGCCGGCGCCGGCGTCTCGCCCCGGCCCGCCCGCATCTTCGGCGCCCCGGGCGCCCATCTGCAGCCGGCGGATGCAGGGTGGCGGCCCCGGATGGAGGGCGAGTGCGCCTGTTCCCCGCGCGACCTGGCCGTCCAAGCCTCCGGCACCTGCAGGTACCTATCCCGCCAGGGCGCCAGCCCGCTCCGTCGCCCAGGTAACCAAGCTACAGCCAACCAGAAGCGTCGCTCCAAATCACATGACACAGCGGTCCAATCGCACTTGAGCGTTGGGAGGAGCAAATTGGGCTTCCGAGCCCCCACGGGGGCGGGGTCCCTGACCTCGGCTCTCGCGAGGCCGTGGCGTCGCCCGGGCTGTATTTCTGCATCCGGAGCCGGCAGGACTGGGAGCTGTCCCGGTCTCAGCTCCTACTCTGTGGGTCGGCAGGCATTTTTCTCTCGGGATGGTTCGGCTCGGGCCGGGGCGTCGGGGCCGCTTGGACTTGCGGGTTCTTGGAGCTACCGGGATGTGGGAGGCCGCCTCGGCCGCGGTCGAGCCGCAGACTACAGGTCCCAGCATGCAGCGCCGCTCCCAGAATGCATTTCTCCTTCCCAGAATGCGCCTGTTCTTCCGGCACCTGTCTGCCCCTCCGCTGGGGAGCTGTGGCCGCAGGTTGCGGGGACAAAGTAACGAGAGGTTCGCTTGGGAAGGCGAGTTGCGAGCGGTCAAGGACAGATCCATTGCCCGCGGCTCTCGCGGTTGTGTTTGGGAGAGGCCTGGGCGAGCCGCGTCGCCGGGGTTGGGCCTGCCGGGCCCGGCTTTGTCGCGAGGTAGTTTTGGATCGGACGCTCTGTGTCTCAAGCAGTGACAAGGGGTGAGGCCGGAGCGTCCTGCCAAGCATTCTGTCCCCAGATGGCTGGACATCTGGACCTGGTGGCTGGGGCAGTCACCTCCTGGACTCACAATTACAGCTCAGGGCCACTCATTGCCACGGGAAGGTGAGGACGGTGATCTCAGGGCTTGCTCCAGGATTCACCTTTGCTGCGGGAATCTGTCCTCCATTCCCAGCAAGGAGGGTGACTAGCCTGAGGCTTCTTCTCTGCCTGCCCCTCCAAGCCTGCTTCACTGAGGCTAGAGTCTTTACAGAGGGTCAGACAGGAGAGAAGAGGATCTCAGCCCTTCTAGTGACAGCTGTTCGCTGCCTGTTAGGACTTGTGCCTCTTCCAGCCACTTTTACTAGACCTCAGGATATGAAGGATGGTCAAGCCAGAGCCGTGTTTCTTGTGGTCAGGTGCGAAAAGTCCCTGCTGCTGGGAGAGAAACTAAACGTGGTTTGGGAGCCCCAGGTTCCTGTAACGGCTGGAGCTCCTCCCTCTGAGAGGCCAGACAGGGCCTGTGTGAGTAGAAGTTGTTCAGGTGGCGTGACACTGTGCTATTTTGATTCCACCAGGCCCCAGGCCTTAGTTTGGGGTCAGGGTACTCCTAGTTGCAGTTGTAGAAAAGGGAGCGACCACATAGTCAACACTTGTCTGGGATGCTTCATGTCCGCCCAACACCCGCTTGGTGCTGACTCTTCCAGAAATTGTTTCTGACTCCTTGGCAGGCTGGCAGCTGAACCATAGCTGAAAGGAGTCGGGAAGGCCCTGGACTCGGCTGCACCTAGGGGTCTTGGAGGAGCAAGAAGCAAGTTTTTTTCTGTGTCTTGGGTGCTGGGCAGCAGGTTTGTCCAGGTGACACATGTGGGTGGGCAGCAGAGCTGGGGCTGGCCCAGGGTGCAGACTCTCTGTCAGGGCCTATGCCATGTCACTTACCTAGGCTGACAAGCTCTGGAGAGCCTGCAGCTTGTGTGTGTGTTCCCTGTCATCCATGTTTAGGGCAGGGCCCATGCCCAGAGCCGGATCCCCAGAATCTGGAAAGGGCCAGGAAACATTGGGTGCTGGGTAGGCAGCAGCCCAAGCCTGCAGGGATGGGTGAGGGACCAAGGGACCAGCACTACTGGTGCTGCAGCCAGAGATGGCGTAGTGCGGCTCTCCGTCAGCCTGCCCCACCCTTAACTACATGCCATGGATTGGATGTGGCTTATTTCTGCCAAAACGCATGTTGAAATTTGATCCCCAATGTGCAGTGTTGGGAGTTGGTGCCTAGTAGGAGGAGTTTGGGTAATGTGGGTGGATCCCTCATGAATAGATTAATGCCCTGTGGAGAGGGTGAGTGAGTTCCCCCCAAAGTGGGTTGAAAAGTCTGGCTTCCTTGGTTTCTCTCTTTCCCGTCCTCTCCCGCCATCTTTGCGTACACCCACTCCCCGTCCACTGTCTGCCATGGACTGAAGCAGCATGAGGCCCTCACCAGATGCAGCTGCCCAATCTTGAACTTTGCACCATAATCATGAACCATATAAACCTCTTTTCTACATAAATTACCTGGCCTAAGGGTATTCTGTTATAGCAACACAGAATGGACTAAGACACCCCAAATTCTCTGTGGTCCCATCCACTGTCCCAGAGTACAGAGATGCTCCCTCAGCCAATTAAGGGGGCATCCCCTTCTCCAGGGCCATCCCCAGCCCTGCATGTAGTGGGGTCTCTGGCTCCTGGGATGTCAGGAGGATTTGGAAGCAGCTTGGGCTGGTGGGATAAGAAGGGGTTCTGGAGTCAGCTAGTTCACAGCCCTAGTCTCAGCTGTGGGCTCTTGGACTGAGACACTACAATTAGTCTCAGGGCCTCAGGGTTCTTACTACAAGGAACACCACCCCCATGTTGCAGTGTTTGAGGGCTATAGGAGGATGAGCGTCCTTCAGGCAGGACTAGTTCCCCTAGTGACCCCACTCCTGCCCATTGGACTGTCTGGAACACATCTAACCACTTTCCCAAGGCCATGGGTGCTAAGGGGCCATTTGGAAGCAACCCTGCCTGCCTCCTCCCTCCCACCTCCCCACTTGTTCCCTTGTCTTTCAAGGGAATGTTTCCTGATGTCACAAGCCAAGGTGGTCTCTTCTGAACCTCGTATCTCTGGTCAAGGGGCAATAATTGGGCACTTCCCTTTGCTGGTCATTGCATTCTCATGGAGACAGATTAAAAATCAGTGCCTTGTCCACAAATTCCAAACTTGAAAAACTGGAGTTAGGCGGGGGTGAGAAGGGAAGCGAGCAGCTAACGCAGCTCAGGAAGGGGAGTGCGGAGGAGCCCTGACGGGGGCCGCACAGCGGCTGGGGAGACCAGGGGAGGCGTATGGGGCCGAGGGCACTGGCTGGCAGACTGCCACGTCCCGCTGGAGAGCCACCACACAGCCACTACCTCCCTTCTTTATCAACAGGAACCCTTGGTTTTGATTTTGTTCAGTTTCTGGCGGCTGTAGTCATCTGGAGAGTCTGACTTCTTAGCTCCAAAGTCGGAGTAGAATCTTAGGGAGGAGCACGTGGCCGTCTCTGGGCAGTGAGGCATGAAAAGCAGCCTGGGGCTCTAGGGAAGTTTTCCTCAGCCTGGGTAAGATACTAGGGCAGGTCGTTCCCTTCCAGTCTTTGGAGGCCAGCGTGTGGGGACGTGGTACTATACACTGCCGTAACCGGCTTCACTGCATGCAGTGACCACATGGGACAAGCCAGAGGACAACATGGCCAACATGGCCATATTTTTGGCCAACATGCCAAAAACCCAGAGCAGAAATAGAATCTGGGTCTCTGGCCATATCGCTGAGCCCGTGGATTGCGGAGGCCTAGAGCCACCCCACCTTGGGACTTCTGGACACAGGATATGAGAAGATTTAATTTTATTGTTGGAGTGATTTTCAGTTGGATGTTACGCTGTAGCAAGACAGACTTGCTGTCGCTGTATGGATTATCTATCCCAAACTTAGTGGCTGAAAACAACCAGCATTATCTCACAGCTTCTGTGGGTAAGGAATTTGGGAGCAGATCTTAATGGCAGTGCTGGCTCAGTGTCTCTTGGGAGAGTGCAGTCAAAGCGTAGAGCCAGAGCCAGAGTCATCTGAAGGCATGGCTGGGGCTGGAAGAGCCACTTCCAAATTCTCGTGAAGCGTGACTTCCTCACCATGTGGACCTCCACGAGGCTGTCTGAGCATCCTCACAACGTGGCTGCTGGTTCCCCCAGAGCAGGTGATCCAAAAGGAAGGGGAAGCGGGAGCCATAGTACATTTTATTCCCCACTTCAGATGGCGTGCTTCGTCATTGCACCCATTCCACTCACTGGAAGCAAGTCGCTAGGTCCAGCCCGTGCTCAAGGAGAGGGAACTTAAGCTCCACGTTTTGAGGGAAGAAGTATCAAAGAATTCATGGCCGTGTTTTAAGACCACCAAAGCCCTGAGGGCTGAGATGAGGGCGTGGCACGCGCAGGGTGCGGCACACAGTCCTGCAGCTGCGGAAGGTGGGCAGGGCCGCTGCGCAGGCCCAGAGGTGAGAAACCATCCTGGGCTCCGTGGGTGAGGGAAGAGAGGCGGTACGTTGGCATTCTGAAATATGGCTCGCTCTGTAGTGGGCTCCAAAGCACGTCCTTGAGGCTGGGGCCAGTGAGGGTGAGCCCAGAGGCCTAGACTGCGTGCCGGCGGCGGCGGAGAAGGGGAGAGATTTGGCTCTTAGGAGGCGTGTGGTGGCAAGGCATGTTAGAAAGGGAGAGGTGAGGGTGTGGAACGGTGGCGCCAGTGGGGAGAGCCCGCAGGCCCCGCAGGACTGGAAGGCGCAGACGCCCCTCAGGCCCTGCCGTGCTAGGAAGCTCACGGGGCAAAGAACTGTTCAGAAGAACACCTCGTCGTAGGCTAGGGTTGGGCACGTTCACAGTTAGGTTTACAGGTCTGAAACGCAGAGCAGCTTAGGCCACAAACAGCCCAGACCTCTGCCCCCAGCAGCTGTGTTGGCCTTCAGGTCCGGTGCCCTGGGTCTGTGGGCAACAGGGACCTGTCCCTCAGAGCAGGGCCTTATGTCTGGGGTTCTCGAGAAGGGCCTGGGCAAGTGGAAGTCAGCTACGGGCTTCAGCACAGGGCCTCCACCTTAACAAGTGCCTGGGCCCGCAGGACCAGCTGCCACCACGCACGTCCTGGAGCTACCTGCCCCTCCAAGCACAAGGGGCGTCAGGGCGCCTGGCCCACTCCAGTGGGTCCAAGAGGCATCTCCAGGGCAGCAGGCCAGGGGCTCCACAGTCCAC